CGTAAATGTACAGAGAAGATGGTTTTCTAACTCGTGCACACGCCACGTATATCTGGCATTTCCAGATTTATGCCACGCTCTTCTAGCGACTATCCTCGTGTCGTGTTGATTGTCATAGCAACTGCAATGTTCTCTGGAAACAGAATACGTTTGAACTGAAATGGCTGTCCCCTTGTATTCGATAACTGCGTCATAATCATCGGGTGCTATTGCACAGTTTAATATAATCCAACTTTGAAACGTAAATAATGCTGCGGCATACCAAGCCGCTGCAAAGAATTTACAAATTCCATGGATAATCCATGACTTCGTATCCCATAACTGACGAGAATTCGAAGGCTGATATGTCGAAATGATCTTCGTGAAAAGTATTCGAATATCAGTGGCATGCGAAGTAGMTATCCTCATCGTCCATCGTTTGTTTCCAGTGATTATCATGTCATGTGGCTCGCTTCTCAAAAAGTTGCACACACTGTACCATTCACGCAATGACTCAAATGAAATTCAACCACGTACATTTATCTATAGCAACCGAAGGTAGAAGCAATCGCCGTTTTCGGGTGGAATGTGTAAATTCGTCTTAAGGCATTAGTTGCATTAGTTGAGAACACACCTCGATGTCAATCTACTGGTTGTTCTTGCTTTCTGCATAACTATTTCTTCGAATATGCATTCCATGTATAATATCAAGGCATTTCCAAATAGGGCAATGTTCTCGCAAACGGATCACTGACGCAAGGGTTGAAACACACTCTTTAGCCATTCTCCAAATGAACCGCGTGATGCACAACAGTCGGAAAACTTTCATGAATTGCAAGAGTAAATATCCTACAAAGCGCTTTATTGCAGTTCACGTATGGACCCATTTACTTGCTGATCTCATCTCGTTCAAGGCCAATAATCGCCATGTTATTTTCTTTGGTAACGTACTTGCAAACGTATTTGATCGATTTCACCACACTGCAACTCAACATTGACATAAGTTTTGAATGTGAATTAGACAACAATGACCAATACGGTACGATTCATATGTTGTCAACTTCGACATTCACTCCTCTAAATTGAATGCTAAATGTTCTGCCATTGTCGTCTTGTGAGCGACGCCGATACAGTGGATATCAATCGTTTCCAGTTTGCGTTTCCGAGAGAAAAGCACGTGGATAGTGTTTCGTGCATTTATTGTCATACAAAACGATGTCGGATTGTGGTGTCCGCAAGGTCCATGAATCGTATTGGTTTTCATCTCTTTGCATAATACTGGATCCTTCTCTGCATCAGGAATTTCCACAGAAATGATTTCATGAATTTGATCTGGCGTTACTATCTAAAGAAGAATGTGTGCGTGCGGCAAACCTCTTTTTGCCACTTAGCAGAGTACATCCAGCATTTAACAGCACCATATATACCATAAGTTGCGTCAAGATAAAGTCCATCAAGTCGTGCTGTGACATCGCCGATGTGGCTTGGGCTGCCATATGTTGGTGGCAAAAAGAACGCCAACCGATATTAGCGCGACCTCTTCGTGGCTTCGTAACAACTCTCAATCTGTGATTAATCACTTTGTATGAAGCACACATAAAGTTTTCACGGAATAATTTTTAACAATTTTCTTTTGAATAGCCGGAATAAAAAAGTAACCTACCGAAATTGAACGATTCAAATAATTTACAAATCAAAATATTGAAAAACAAAACAAACAAAAATTGAAAAAAAAAATGTATGGAAAAAAGTTACTTTTTGGAATTGTCCAATTTTCCGATTTTTTCTCAAGAAAAGTAGAAGGTATTTTTATTTTAAAACCTTCCACAACGAACAACCTCTGAAAATTTCATCAAGACTGGTGCAGCCGTTCTCTTAGTGTTACAAATAAACAGTCATCTTTTGTATGGAAAAACAAATGGGTTGTTTTAAGGGTTTTCCGGCAATTATTCGAATCGTAAAAACCATCTTTGAACTTCAACGAACATTAAAAAAAAAAGAATTGGCCAAATTGGTCCAGGCATTTAAGTTGCAAATAATAATATGATGCTTCAAATTACAAAACTTTTGCTCAAGTACCTTTAAATTTCAAAAATGTATTTAATTTTCATTGTTTTACATTTTTTATAAGTGCTCTTGAATGATGCCACAAATCTCTCTGTTTACATATCTTTTTGGAAAGATTTGAATCTGGAAATCTTTAACGAATTTGAAGTCAGATATCAGATTATCTCGCTCCGTCTGTACCGAAAGGATTCTATGCCGCTCCATCTGCTGCCAGCCCCACTCTTTTACTTTATGCTTATAATTTTACACAACCGTCTTAATACTCGCTCTACTACATTTAATATTTCCGGGATGAAATTGTCGTCAGGATATGTGTAACGTGTAAATGAGATGCGTTGCCTGCGATATGTCAAACTGTCTGTTATTGTGACAGTTCATTGCTTTCAATATTCGTCAGTATGGCATCAAGTTGCGCCCCTTTAAGTTTTTTCCAAATAGAGGGGAAAACACCGCTGCAAACTAGTTGATTCGCCTATTAATCAAAACTTTACTCATACGTTTTCTGCACCTTCCTTAGGGTGTACTATCAAAATTTATCGGTCATTAGGTCTCAATCAAATATCATTCGCAATTTTCTTCACAATTCCAACGTGCCCATCGTTTTTTCTTTTCGCAAGGTGGCGCCAATTGGAGCCTGCGAGCGAAGCCAGGTCGTTCTACACCTAGTCCTTCCAAAGGAGTGGAGGTCTTCCTCTTCCACTGCTTCCTTCGACGGGTACTGCGTCGAATACTTTCAGAGCTGAAGTATTTTCGTCCATTCGGACAACATGACCTAGACAGGGTAGCCGCTGTTTTTTACTTCGCTGAACTATATCAATGTTGTCGTATATATCATACAGCTCATCTTTCCATCGAATGAGATATACGCCGTGGCCAACAAGCAAAGGACCTTAAATCTTGCCCAGAACTTTTCTCTCGAAAACTCGCAACGTCGACTCATCAGCTGTTGTTATCGTCCAAGCCTCTGCACCATATAGCAGGACGGTAATTATGAGTGACTTATAGAGTTTGGTTTTTGTTCGTCGAGAGAGAACTTTGCTTCTCAATTGCCTACTCAGTCCGAGTAACGCCTGTTGGCAAGACTTCTCCTGCGTTGGATTTCCAGGCTGACATTGGTGGTGTTTACGCTGAAGTCGAGTAGAAAATCGTTCGGCTGTCTGTTGTAATTGCAGCTTCGAACCTTCTTTGTGTTTGTTGACGTTCGTTTTTTGCTTCACAGAGGCGAATCTTGGCTGCAACAAGATAGTGGTCCGAGTCGATGTTAGGACCTCGGGGCTTATGCACGTCTGGAACACTGGAGACGTGTCATCCGTCTATCACAACACGATCGATCTGGTTGGTGGTTGGTGGTCCGGGGACAACCAGGTAGCTTGATCTATTTTCTTGTGCTGGAATACTACAGATAATCATATTTCGGGCCCCGGCGAAGTCGATCAGCCTCAACCCATTTTTGGATGTTTCATCGTGGAGGTTGAATTTACCGACCGTAGTGCCAAAGATACCTTTTTTGCCCACCCTGGCGTTAAAGTCGCAAAGCTCGATTTAGATATCGTGGCGGGAGCAGCTCTCATTCGTGTACGCTCCAAGCACTAATAGAAGGCATCTTTGGTCACATCGTCTTTCTCTTCCGTAGGAGCGTGGGTCCGAATCAGCGATATGTTGAAGAACTTCGCTTTGATGCAGATTATGGTTAGATGTTCATTCACCGAAGTGAATGATTGTACTTGGCGATGGGTTATCTCCCGCGAATGAGCTGTATGATATATGTATATGACGACTTTGACACACATAATTCAGCAAATTAAAATACAGTGGCTACGCTGTCTAGGTCATGTCGTCCGAATGGACGAAAACACTCCAGCTCTTAAAGTATTCAGCGCAGTACGTGCCGGGGGAAGCAGATGAGGAGCAAGACCTCTACTGTGTTGGAAGGACCAGGTGGAGAAGGACCTAGCTTCGCTCGGAATCTCCAACTGGCGCCACCTTGCGAAAAGAAGAAACGACTGGCACGCTGTTGTTAACTCGGCTATAACGATAAGCGGTTTCTACACCAGTAAAGAAGCAAAAAAAGACTATATGTAAGTATGTACTATATATATAAATGAGTGTTTGGTATTTAAATATGGATTAATTATTTTTTATACCATTATAGCCTTCATGCCAATCATAAAGGAAATCTTAATCAGTATATAACAATACTATAAAAAATTGTATATCTTTATCTACGTATAAATATATATATTTACATATGTAAGAATATACATGATATGCGTATACGTCGTGGCAAAAATAATTATATTTAGAATTTCACAAAATTTTCTACTTTCAGCGCATTCAATATTTAGTCATTTTTGAGTAGCTCTAGTGGACGTGTCGAGAAAAAGTTTCTATAATTATTTTCGGGTGTGCTTCTCCAAATATCTCGTAACTTTATAGGCCTGTATGTATAAACCATATATATATCATATATATATATATATATATATAGCATACTGAGAAATATATGAACTGAATATTGCATTCACTTGCGATATTGTGCTTATGAATTATAGAAAATGTGTTGTAACACTCCTCCTCTGAAAAACAATTTTAGTTTACATGTAATACAAGGAACTTAGTGAATTTTTGTATACACATATAAGTATATATATATATATATGACTTTTTCTCTTTGAGTATATTAATAGTGCAAAGTAAATAAATAAATACATTTATTTATATATATGTTACGTTATTTTTATGTGACCTTGAGCAAATTCATGTACCAAATATTTTATGCCAACAAGTTAATGTGAGAAAATAAGAGAAAATATGAGATTTCGAACCAGTTATCTATTTGCTTAACTTATGAATTTATTATATATGATAATACATCAAGAAAAAAGTATAAGAGAAAAAATACTTGAAATCTAGTGATTAAGAAGTCAATAATACTCCGACATAGTAGGAAAGTGATACAATTATTGAAGAATATATTTTCTTAATTACCTAATACTCATTTTCCTCTCTAAGGCGATGAATAAAGTGATAATAATAACTTGGGTACTCACAACGAGTCATAAAGCATCGTAAAATCATAAAATCATAAATTTTTGTACTAGTTTAAAAGTTTTGTTGTTGGATTGCATACTAAAATAAATTTACGCAAATACAACTCTGAACGCTATGTTTTCGGATCGTTACAACTTATAAATTTATGAGGTTATGTGAAACCCCTAAACATATATAGTGCCACTATAGTATTAAATTAACAAAAGTTGATATGGCTAGCAATGAGATCATTAAATAATAGTCTCCCCATAAATATAATTAAACTATCTTTACCCGCTGCTTCACTCGCATGAAATCTACTAAATAAATATGAAAAATACCTAAAACAAATTACTAAATACATAGTATATCCACAGCGCGGTGATCATATTTGTCGTGATGGTGGTAATCACAAAACCCCACTTAGTTTAGGAGTTTACCACAGAGAAAGCGTGACAAGTAATTTTTTTACATACACATATGTACATAAGTACATACAAGTATGTATATATATAGAAACGAAGACGTTTTCGATATATTTTCATTTTGCTAGATCTTCGAGTTATTCCACAATAAACGTGCTTGCCAAAATAAATAAATACAATAGTTTCATATCTTTTTAGTTCGATTGTATATATGTATACATTTCCATATAATTACGTAGTGATGAAAATTCATGACGTCATTTGTGTAACTTATGGTTATGGCGTTTGTAACACCTAAAACGTATCGAGATAAATATGTTGTTATAACTATAAGTGCGGGTGCATCTTTACATGTCCATTCGGATATCCATCCGTATGTTGTTGTAAGATATAGGTGTGAAAATTTAAATATCTTGATGCCGCTTCGAACACGTGTTAGTTGACATTCGTATTGGTCCATTCGTACATCTGCAAGTATTATGCGAAAAACTTTAAACTAAGGCAGAAATGAAGCAACAAATTTTTATCGACATAGCTTGCTTACTTTTCAAATCTAATTAAAGTTTGGTAAATAATATTTTTTGAGATCTTTAAAGAAAGGCCACCTAGTGCAACAGGGGTTCTACACTTACACTAGTCACTGTACCTCTATGAAAAACTTTGCTAACCGGTTTAGAAACGTCAGTTTATATAACAACTTCATTAAATTTTCATGCCTACTATCTCTATATCCAGGAATCGTATTAATTACCTGAGGAGACTTCAATTCTTATAAACATTAATTTATGACAGCTTCATTGAACAATTTTCATTAAGGTAACTTGTATTTGAGTCAGCGTTGAGTTCCATTTGTAGAAATCAGCGGGAATTTTGTAATGGTATTTGTTGTTTAAGCTAGAGGATTTTTAGCTGAAAAATCAAAATTTCTGGTTTGGCTTACATGATTCATTCTCAGTTTTTTCTTTGTGAATAAGTATATCTGATGTTAGAAAGCGAGAATCTCCCATCTTATAATCATTATAGAATGTTCAGCAGTTTGACTATAGGTTTTTCATCATACAATATACACTACTATTATTATTTTCGGAATAAAGCTGTTGTACCATTTGCGTTTATTGGCACTGGGTTGAATGTGGTAGCCGTAATGAGTCGGCGTTCTTCGTGGCTCGCCTGTGGATTTGTTGCCTTAGGTATAAGGTCGATTTTAGATTTAATTGCGCCCACAGTTAATGAAACTATCAATTGACATCCCTTTTTAAAGAAGTAAGAGTTATTTTTCATATATTTTCTTTGAGAGGTCTGATCGTAAGGTGGAGTCATTAAAAATTAGTAAAATGAAGGAAATTCGAACATAAAAGCACAATTCTTTGTATTATTACTATTATTATTTTTTAACTTTTGTAGAAATCTTCTTCTTCTTAATTGGCGTAGGCACCGCTTACGCGATTATAGCCGAGTTAACAACAGCGCGCCAGTCGTTTCTTCTTTTCCCTACGTGGCGCCAATTGGATATTTCAAGCGTAGTCAGGTCCTTCTCCACCTGGTCCTTCCAACGGAGTGGAGGTCTTCCTCTTCCTCTGCTTCCCCCGGCGGGTACAGCTTCGAATACTTTCAGAGCTGGAGTGTTTTTGTCCATTCGGACAACATGACCTAGCCAGCGTAGCCGCTGTCCTTTAATTCGCTGAATTATGTCAATGTCGTCATATACCTCGTACAGCTCATCGTTCCGTCGAATGTGATATTCGCCGTGGCCAACGCGCAAAGAAACATAAATCTTTCGCAGAACTTTTCTCTCGAAAACTCGCAACGTCGACTCATCAGTTGTTGTCATCGTCCAAGCCTCTGCACCATATAGCAGGTCGGGTATTATGAGTGACTTATAGAGTTTGGTTTTTGTTTGTCGAGAGAGGACTTTGCTTCTCAATTGCCTACTCRGTCCGAAGTAGCACCTGTTGACAAGAGTTATCCTACGTTGGATTTCCAGGCTGACATTGTTGGTAGTGTTTACATTAGTTACAAGATAGACGAAATTATCTACAACTTCAAAGTTATGACTTTTAACAGTGACGTGAGAGCCTAGTCACGAGTGCGACGACTGTTTGTTTGATGACAGGAGATATTTCGTCTTGCCCTCGTTCACTGCCAGACTCATTTGCTTTGCTTCCTTGTCCAGTCTGGAGAAAGCAGAACTAACGGCGCGGGTGCTGAGGCCGATGATATCAATATCATCGGCATACACCCGCAGCTGTACTCTCTTATAGAAGATTGTACCTTCTCTATTTAGTTCTGCAGCTCTAATAATTTTCTCCAGAAGTAGGTTGCAGAAATCGCACGATAAGGAGTCGCCTTGTCTGAAACCTCGTTTGGTATCGACCGGCTCGGAGAGGTTCTTCCTGATTCTGACGGGGCTTTTGGTGTTGCTCAACGTCAGTTCACACAGCCGTTTAAGTTTTTCAGGGATACCAAATTCAGACATCGCGGCATAAAGGCAGCTCCTTTTCGTGCTGTCGAAAGCAGCTTTGAAATCGACGAAGAGGTGGTGATTGTCGATTCTCTTTTCACGGATCTTTTTCAAGATTTGGCGCATGGAGAATATCTGGTCGATTGTTGATTTTCCAGGTCTGAAGCCACACTGGTAAGGTCCAATCAGTTTGTTGACGGTGGTCTTTAATCTTTCACTAGAATCTAATGCGTAATGTTTAGGAGACTCATTTCACGTTAGTTGGCCCAGATTGTGGGATCTCCTTTTTTGAGGATTGGGCATAGCACATTTAAATTCCAATCGTTGGGCATGCTTTCGTCCGACCATATTTTACAAAGAAGCTGACGCATGCTCCTTATCAGTTATTCGCCGCCGTATTTGAATAGCTCGGCCGGCAATCCATCAACCCCCGCCACGTTGTTGTTCTTCAGTCGGTCAACTGCTATTCGAACTTCTTCCTGGTCAGGCAATGGAACATCTGCTCCATCGTCATCGATTGGGGAATCGGGTTCGCCTTCTTCTGGCATTGTGCGCTCACTGCCATTGAGCAGGCTGGAGAAATATTCCCTCCATAATTCGGTGACTAGATTCTACAGAGTTTACTCCGGTCTTGAAACCTTCTGTAAGCCGCCGCATTTTTTCGTAGAATTTTCGAGCATTACCCCTGTCGGCCAGCTTATCAAGTTCTTAGTACTCACGCAATGCGGTCACTTTCTCTTTCTGTCTGAAAATGTTTGCTTCAGCTGATCTTTTGCACTTTCCGAAAGCCAATGGTTTCGGTTGCAGCTGTACGTAAGGAGTTTGAAATGCCGTCCCACAGTTCCCTTATACCGAGTTGTTGACAAGTGCTCTCAGAGAGCAGGAGTGCAAGCCGAGTAGAAAATCGTTCGGCTGTCTGTTGTGATTGCAACTTCTTGACGTCGAACCTTCCTTGTGTTTGATGGCGTGCGTTTTTGCTGCACAGAGGCGGGTGCGAATCTTGGCTGCAACAAGGTAGTGGTCCGAGTCAATGTTAGGAATTCGGAGCGCATTCACATCTAAAACACTGGAGACGTGTCTTCCGTCTATCACAACGTGATCGATCTGTTTGGTGGTTTTTCGATCCGGAGACAGTGAGGTAGCTTAATGTGTCTTCTTATGCTGGAATCTAGTACTTCAGATAACCATATTTTGGGCCCCGGCGAAGTCGATCAGCCTCCACCCATTTGAGGATTTTTCCTCGTGGAGGCTGAATTTACCGACCGTATTGCCAAAGATACCTTCTTTGCTAACTATGGTGTTAAAATCGCCAAGCACGATTTTGACATCGTGGCGGGGGCAACTCTCATAAGTGCGTTCCAAGCACTCATAAAAGGCATCTTTGGTCACATCGTCCTTCTCTTCCATCGGGGCGTGGGCTCAAATCAGCGACATGTTGAAGAACCTCGCTTTGATGCGGATTGTGGCTAGACGTTCATTCACCGGAGTTAATGATAGTACTCTGCAACGGAGTCTGTCTCCCACCACAAATCCCACACCAAACTTGCGCACCTTTATATGGCCACTGTAGTAAATGCCGCAAGGACCTACTCGTCTCTGTCCCTGTCCCGTTCATCGCATTTCTTGGACGCCGGTGATGTCAGCCTTTATTTTCACGAGGACATCAAGCAGTTGGGCAGCGGCACCTTCCCAATTAAGGGAGCGG